GGCAGGACCTTGCCCTTGGCCTTGTTGAACCTCATGAGGTTCACACGTGCCCCCCTCTCCAGCCTGTCCAGGTAGCACGTAGCCAGCCTGGGTGGCTGGGTAAGGCTTGCCGTAGCGTTAACAGGACGGCGCTTTGGGATAGTGAGGGCAGCGCCGTGGGAAGTTCCGGCTGCGAAGGCAGTAGCCGCAGCTATTGCAGAACTGGTGGGTAATGCCCCTAAAAATCCTTATTTGCTGGACCTCCTGGGGTTTCCCAGTTTTGTGTGTGCACGAATCCAGGCAGAAGCTGTCCATGGCGTTCCTCAACGGCAACGTCCACCTTTGGCTTTCTCCAGCTCTGCGGGGCCGTGCTGATCCGATGCGGCAGCGTTCAGGTCCCGGTCACACGTCATTACTGCTCCGTGGGTTTCGGCAGGGTTGGGAGGTGGCCGCAGAACCTGAGGGCGGGCGGAGGAAGTCTGGAAGTACGGTCTTGTGGTGGAGACCGAGCTGGGAGGTGGAGGGTTCAGCCCATGTGAACCCTGCTGCTGATGCGAGCTTGCTAGAAATGAGAAATCTCAGAAGTTGATGGCTGTAAAATGCTGGCATAAAAAACGTAGCTGTTTTGGTAACAGCAAAATGCCAGCAGTGCTCCTTTCCGTCTGGCTTAGTGGGTGGGAACAGAGCTGTTACTACATTGTAGGGTTAGTTGATATTAGTCCAGAAGTGTAATTCTGTGTGCACGTGTGTGGCTGATAAGTGGTGAATTGCTCTCCTTCGGGGGGGGGGGAAAATCCAACCCTCACAAAGGTGCGAGAGGCTTAAAATGAAAACACATCCAGACATTTTAATGGGACTTGATATCTCAGGATGATGAGTGGCTTTTAGTATTTTTATTTGCAAGGGTGTAGTATTAAACGCTTATTCACAGCTGCGCGACCCAGTGATGTGCCTGGGCACAAATAAGAGAAGCTTTTGGTCTGCCCTGCGGGAAGACGAGGGTGCACCCAGCTGCCCTGAGCTCCTGGGGCATGGGACCGGCACCCGGGTTTCGTCCGTCCCCCCTGAGTTGGGTCTGCTGGGTGCGATCCTTCCTGACGGTGCAGCAATGCGGCCCTGCTCAGGGCTGGCTTCATCTGAGGCTTTGTCTGGGTTTTGGGGGGGACTGCGAGCAGAGCTAGGGGCTGAAACACGAGGCAGGCTTAAGGTTTGGGGTCAGCTTGCTGGGAGGAGGCTGGAGGGGGAGGAAGACGTCCAAAAGGAACCGTGTTGGCCCTGCAGGAGCCTGCTGTTACCTGCTCTGAACCGGGCTCTGAGCTCCTCTAGATCTTGGTGGTCGCTTGCCTGGATGCAATGGGACCAGTTTCCCTGGCCAGCACAGTGAAGTTGCGCTATTTAACTCGGAGTCACTTTGTCTGCCCCTGTGCAGACCTGCAGACCGGTAGGGCCTGCCCGGTGCCGGGGCGGGCGCCGCACGACGTACCGTGGATGCTGGAAAGACCTTTGTCAAAGCTGCGGCGCGCGAGAGCTGCGCGGGTGCTCAGCTTTGTTCGGGTGCTCCCCTCGCCGGTGGGAGCGAGTTCCTGGCACCAGGGACGCGTTTTTCGTCTTGCCTCAACCACGGATTCAAGTCCTGGCGGTGCCATACCCTGTGCCTCAGTTTACCCCCATTTTCTCTGCCTGGATCTGGATCAATCCCTTTAGCATTGCAGTACGGAAGGCGTGGGTTTGGGGCGGGGGGGGAGCGCGGGGCTGGCTGTGGCGTTGCTATAAAACTGCTGCTTTGGAAAGCAAGCTTCACAGGAATTGCTGGTGTTCCTGGGTCCTCACCAGGGGCGCGTTTTTAGCTGTTTCCATCCATCTCGACGGCTCTGGGTTTAGCTCGCCTGCCCTTCACCTGCATTTTGAAACCCTTTGGGGAGACGGTGTCCTCCAAACGCGGCGCGAGGGCACTCGGTGCGCTCGCTCTAGGCACAACCCCTAATTGCGCAGGGACCCAACCTGTTTGTCGAAGGCGTTTGGCAATGCCCGATCCAGAGAAATAGCGTGACGTCTGTTGTGAAAGAGCTGCTTGGCTCCGGTTACCATACTTGCTTGGGGTTTTTTCTTTCCAAAGACTTTATTAATTACCTAGTTAGAGATTTGCTTCGTAGCAGGACGGAGACCTAGCTTTACTGGTTGACTGCCCTACTTAGGCCAAAGCACTGCTCTAGGAGGCGAACGAACCGGCAGCACTGAGCCGTCTACAGCTGCTCTACGGAATGGTGAAGGTTCTCCTGGTTTGAGAAGGTCGAGCAGTGTTTTCCTGCTGGTGGGATGCGCCGAGTCTCCTCGTCTCTGCTAACGACGTTTTTCTTCTTTCCGATAGGAAACACAGACTGACAAGAACTCAAAGTGCCTTTTCCCCGGTTGTGTTCAGCCCCCTCTTCACAGGTAAGGATTTGAAAGCTTTACAGAGTGGCGTTGCGTCTCGCCGTGAGCAGTGTGTGCTTAACGGCAGACGCTGAATGTTGCCGCGCCGCGCGAACCGGGGTCTCCGTGAAGAGCCCCTCTGTCCCGCTTGGCCTCAAACCCCCAGCGAGAGGAGCTGTAAAGAACGCGGCTGTTGCACGTCAGCGTGTTGCAGTTCCTCCTGTTGAAATGCAAGTTCCAGTTGTGCTCTCGGAGGTGAAGGCCCTTCTTCTGCGTGGGGCTGGTTGCATCCAAGTGGTGTGGAAAATCCCCTACCGAGCTGGCGCAGTTGGGTGCTCTCCTCCCGTGGTTTTTGAGGGGCTAAGACCGAGCCCCGCTTCCCACCTGGACCCCGCACCAACGTCAGCGGCTTCGCTGCATGACAGCTATGGGAATTGAAACCTCTTGTGGAGCGCTACCACCTTCTTCTGTGTGTTTTCCCCCCTCTCCCCGTGTCCTGCTGGTTTCTGACCTTCCCTTTTCTGCTGGTGGGGGGGGAAGTTGGCTGGTTTACAGCTGGTGCGAGGGGGAAGTCCTGCTCTGCTGGTGGCCGAAAGCTGTAGGACTGAAAAGCTCCTGGTCACAGTCATGTGCCTCTTGTGCCGTGGGCTCGTAGTCAAACCAGTCCCAGCCATGGGGCTTCCTCGGGAGAATCCCATCTCAAGACTTGCGTGAGTAGGAATGTTAAGGTCGCAAGCAAGTATTTATCAGCTGTGTGGGGCTTTACGTGGCTTGTTATGAAGGTCAGATTCAAAATAAATTCACGTTGAGGGTCTTACCGCAGGGGAAAGGAATCAAAATATGGTTGTGCAGCGATAGCTGCCCTGGGAAAGGCCGGTGGGTAGAGCTGAAAGCCTCCTCCTCTTGCTGCTGGGGTGGGTGTTTGGTAGCAGAGGGCGTCCGGAGGGCTCGGTGCGGGCGCTGGTACGTGGTTTGTGTGCCTGGGTAGGGCGAAGCCCTCTTTGGAGAGCAGCGGTGAAGTCTTACTGAGAACTGGTTTAAATTTCGGAGAAGTGACCTTCAAGGCAGAGCGTTCGTTTGCCGTGCCCGAAACGAGTAACGAAGCTGCTGAGCTGCTCCCGTGACTTCTTGTAACTCGTTCGGCGCTCGAAGGGGGTCACTTGGGGGCGATTCAGCTGTGGCGGGGCTTGCTCTCCTCCCCATTCCCACACCCCTCCAGCTCCCCCCCCAGCCCCCCGGTAGCGGGGCAGCACGCAGGGGGCCATGCTCCCCCCGGGGTGGGACTGGCTTCCCCCGAGCATCGCGTGCCTGTGTTCAGCAAAGCAAGGCTGGCGGAAGCAAAAGCTGCTTCTGCTGCTTCGTCAGCTGTTGCTGGGGGAAGCTGCGAGCGTAAAATCTGTGTGCGCTGCGATGGGGTACGTGGCGGGGGGGTGCAGAGCTGCTTTTCTTCAGAAGAAAGTGCAGAGGACAACCTGGAGCTGACAAGTTTTTGCTTTAAATTTGGGGAGTCGATTTGATTAGTCGTTAGTTTATCCTATTGCTATTTTGAAGATGACTTGACGTCACTTTTTGCCCGTTGGTGGAATACTGGCGGTGCCCTCGTAGGAGCATTTCCTTTGCAGAAGATCACCCCCAAAGTGAATATCTGGCTTTAATCGCTTTGGTGTTGGCTTCTACGGCCGTACACAAGCCAAGGGCTTGGTTTCTTTAATGTCTGCTGCAGAGAGGATTTTTTGAGGCTGGGACCACCCCAGCAGGACAGAATTCAAACCCAGCGTGCGTGGTTTTCTTGGTGCCTTGCTTTCCAGGTCGACGTGTGGGGCGAGCGAAGGCCTTCAGGAACGTCGAGGAGAGCATTCCCAACGCCTTTCTCCTCGGGCATGCCTCCGTAAGGGCACCGCAGCCTGCCATCGCCGCTCCGGCTGCGTGGGGAAGGGTCTGCAAGCGGAGTTACTGCAAGCCCTCTTGGTCTGGAGGTCCCTTGGTTTTGTTTGTACGGGCCGAACGCAGCCCAACCTACGCGGCCACTTTATTTCCAGGGCGTGGAAATGAAAGAGCGGCTGCGTGCATGCGTGTGCGCTCGCACCCATAAATCCCCCGGGGAGAAGGTACCTCGGGTAATAACCAACCCTAAATACTCTTCTTAACGTGGCTTATTAATAGATAGGGCTTTTAAAAGCAGGAGGAAGCTGAGTCAATGTTGTCCTGTGTAATGCACAGTAAATGCCTTGCCGGGTCCTTAGCAAGAGGCGAGCGACGCCGTGTGCGGAATCTGGAGCAGAAGAGGAGTTCCCTGCCCACAGGAATTGAAATCTAAGGCAGCCAGATTTCGTTGTCCTTGAGACCACAGTTCGGGTGCTTGGGATCGTTTGGCTTATGTTGGTGATTCGACGGCGCCTGGTTAGACTTATTTTTTTGGTGGGGGGAAATTAAAAAGCCTTGGTGGTGGTGACACCACTCAGGGTCTCTTTGGGATTTAGGTGTTTGCCTCTGCGTCAGTCCGATACGGAGGCTGATGCTCTGACCTTGGCTTGATGGCTTCACTCCTTTCCCGTGATTTCAGACTGATTTTAAGCTTTTCTGGTTCGAAGTTAGACATATTTGTTTGTGTCGTTATTTTCTCCAAGCAGTGCCCTCGATCCAGAGCCTTTAGGCTTCCGTGGATTCCAGCTGTTTGTATAAAAGCCTGTCCGGCTCCCTCTTCTTAACATTAAGAGCTGGTCCCCTCGTGGCCTTTGGGGTGGAAGGCATTTCTGTTCGATCATCGAAGGCGTTGGTAGGCAGACTCAGACTGGCGTTAATGGGAGCGTTATCCCAGAGTCCCGTGCCCACGAGTGCAACCATTTCCCAAGACCATATAAAGCGCCCGCGCTGTGCACCACTGGTGAGCTCTGCTCGATACGTGAACGTGGTGCTGAAAAGGTCCCGCGGTGCCGTCCTCATCGCGTCCCCCTGGTGCTGGACTCGGAGGGGGCTCGGGCACGTGGACGGGTATCCCTCATTCCCCTCCGCCTCATCTTTGAGCTGCGGTAGCAGGAGCTGATCGATGGCTCGGAAGCGGTGCAGCAGGGAAACTTGATTTGAAAACAGCTAATGAGATCGTTCTCCAAACCCTGCAGGGGTGACTGCCCCTTCCCCTCTCCCCCTGCCTCCCCGCGCTCGGCCGCTGCATGCCCCAGAGAAGGTGCGATACTAACAGTCTTGCTCCCCCAACCTCCAGGTGAAACGGTGTCACTGGTGGACGTGGACATCTCTCAGCGAGGACTGACCTCCCCTCACCCTCCGACTCCGCCGCCTCCACCACGAAGAAGCCTCAGCCTGCTAGGTACCGTCCTGGAGAGCGTCCTTTGCCGTGCGCCCCTGCGGGAGGGTAGGAGCTGCCCGCCCACCCTTGCAGGGGTGATGGAGGAGCATCTTGAGGGTCCCTGGCAGCGGGCTCGCTGCCTGCTCATCTGGCCCCGAAGCGTGCCTGCTCACCCTTCCCTGGCAGAGGATTTTTTTTTTTTTGTTGAAAGCTTCAGTGTTGCTCTTAGATCAGCCAGGAGGGGAGGGGGGTGGCGGAGCAGCATGGGGTGGGAGGTAACGTGCTGGTTTTGTAGCATTTCTGCTGCTTTTGGAAACTTTCCTCCCTTCCTACCCATCGTCCAGCCAGGCCGGTTCCTTTCTGTGCTCTCCAGTGGCTGGAGATGGAGGCTCCCTGGGAGGCTGCTGCACCGGGAGCCGGGCTTGGCTGCTCTAAATCCTCCTCTGGAGGAGGCTCCTCTGAGCAGGAGCAGCTTAGGATGGGTAAAGCCAGCCTTAGTGAGCAGCGCCTTAACCTGCACGTCCCGTGTGCTGGGTCTCCGAAATCCCCTGTCAATGCCTGTCTGCACTGCCAGCTGCATGCAAGGAGCTTGCGGGGCTGGAGAGCGTGCCCCTTTGCCCCAGGGTTGCACATGAGCGTGCACGGGTGCGTGGTGTGAGCTCCGAGCTGGTGTGAAGCCGCAGCCGTCCGCGCTCCGAAGCGGGAGGAGGATGAGCTGCCGGTGGGAAGCTTCATCTTCACTTCTCCAGGCAGCGCCGGTTTGCTGGGGCGGCGCTGTCAGGTGCTCACCAGCGCAGAGCTTGCTCGCTTTCCTGTTTTCTGAATCTCTCTTGCCTCTGTTCTCTCCTAGATGATATCAGTGGGACGCTGCCTACATCTGTCCTAGTGGGTCCAATGGGTTCCTCCCTGCAGTCTTTCCCTCTGCCTCCGCCTCCTCCGCCCCATGCCCCAGGTCAGCTTAGCTTCAGCAGCAAGGCTCTGCCTTTCCCTTCAGGGATCTGGACTTTGGGGGTTTTTCTTGGTGAACTTCAAGGCTGCCCTTTGGGCTTTAACAGCCACAGTGCTGCCTGCATTGCCCGCTCAGGGGCTGCGGTCCTATGCTGCTGAGTGCTCGGGCACCGCTGCGTCGAGGCTCTGGTTTCCACGTGGCCGTGGCTTTTGTGGCCCACAACGGTTTTCCCGAAGCTCGTGATTGCACCAGCTTTCTCCTCAGTTCAGCATCTCCCATCTCCTCTGGCTCCTCTTGGGTTCAGCGGAGGCGCAGCCCACCCCGATGTGTGCTGTGTCAGATAATGTGTCAGTGGGCGCCAGCAATGTCCGAAAAAAGCCATGGGAGCGAGGGCTCAGCGCCGGAGCCCCGGCTTTGACAGCCAGCCTGCTGTGCAGCCCGATGCGAGGATGTTACCGGTGCATTTACCCCCTTGCTTTTGGTTTCCTTCAGGACGCAGAGGCTTTAGCTGCCCCTTGCTCGGGATGTGCGTTCATTCCTTCCAGTCCGTGCCGCCTGGCACTTCCCCTGCCTCCCCTCCGAGCTAGCGTAAGGAAATGGCAGGTGACGGCCCTGAGTTTTTAATCACCTTGGAAAGGCCAGGTAGCGATTCCCGCTGTGTGTTCCACACGGACGTTGTCCTTCTGTCGGTCAGCCCAGCTTCCTCCTCCACGCCGCCGCTCTGCCCCTCCTGCCCTCACCCCTAGAGCCGTGCGAGGGGGGACGGGGCGACTGCCCCTTGGGGTGAGCTCCCCGTGGGTGACCGGGGCCGGGGCTGTCTTTTCCTCCGCAGACGCCTTCCCCCGGATTGTCCCGCTGATTTTTTTAGCCTGCCCCGCACCTCCAGTGTCCGCTCTACCGCCCGGACTCCAGCAGCTTTGCAGCCAGCTTGCGAGAGCTGGAGAAGGTAACGGGGAACGTGGTGGGGTGGGTGGGTGGTGGCAGCCAGAAGGAAAAATCTGCGGGTCTAGGCTTTCGTTTTGGGGACCGATCATCCTTTTCACAGACTTGAGAGCATAAGATCAGGATAAGACTGGAAAAAAAACCCTCCTGCCTTTCTGCCAGTGAGGTTTTGAGCCTAGAAAAGCATTTTGTTGTGCATGGAAGGGGTGTCGTCATCTCATCTGTGCTTTCCCCACTTCTGGGTGGTGAGGGATGGTGCTCTCATCCAGGAGCAACGAGTCCCAGCCATCCATACTCCTGGGTGGATACAACCAGACGCTTCCATTTTGGCATCTTAAAGGAATTAACAACAAGAGCAAATCATATTGTGCTTGGTTGCTGATAAAATCTTTCTCACTAGTATCTGCTGACGTTCTGGCTGTCTCTCTTTCCTAGTGCGGGTGGTACTGGGGACCGATGAACTGGGAGGATGCAGAGATGAAGCTGAAGGGGAAGCCGGATGGGTCCTTTCTGGTCCGAGACAGTTCTGACCCCCGTTACATCCTGAGCCTCAGCTTTCGGTCGCAGGGCATCACCCATCACACCAGGATGGAGCACTACAGAGGCAAGAGCCGGGGCGGTTCTGGGGGTGCTGCTGACAGTGGAGGCCGTGGCCGGGGGGGACCAGTTTGATTGCAAGGTCCCAAAGCAGTGCCCTGGCCGTAGGGCTGGCAGAAGAGGGGGAGCAGCAGCCGTGTGTCCTCGCTCCTGTGTTGAGGTTCTGCAAGAGGCCTTGGAAGCTGCATTTGCCTTTGCTTCTTGTGCCTCAAGCAGCCGCTCTCCTTATAACTCTGAAAAATTGGGGAATACAGCTCTTGTTCCACCCCATGCCTGTCATTCAGGCCTTGCTTTGGAAAACTGGACTTGAAAATGCTGGTGGCAAGGTCTTTGGGACCCCGCGTCGCCGAGCTGTGATGTACAGCAAGAGTCACCGTTCGTAGCTGCCAGTGCTTCCCAAAATGAAGCTCGTTTCCCCGTGAAATGAGAACTGATCTCTCCATGCCGCAGCTCGTCGCCTTGCTTTGGTCTCCCCCTGCCCGAGGGGTGCTGGGCAGTGGCACCAGCTGCAGTCTGGCCCGGGCTGAGCCTTGAGCTCCGCCGTGGTGGGTTTTTATTCTGAGAACTCGTCACACTGCTTGTGCCCTTTCTTCCTGCTGTGCTCGCCCTCCTGCACGGGCTGCTTCTCACCTCGCCCACGTGCTTTGCCCGCTCCTCTTCGCCTGCGGTTTTCTGTATCGAACCCCTGTACGGGCAGCAGTCCTCGGGCTGAGCAAAACGCCCAAGAGGCTCAGTGCGCAGGGGGGAAGCTGCGGTGTAACCAGTGGGCAAGCTTTAATAACAGCCCTGTCGTTAAATGTGCCTGCAAATAATGGGCTCGGAGTCATCCCAGCCAACCTGCTGGAAAAAAACAAACCCAGTGGTTTGCAACCTTTGAGAGCAAAGCTCGCCTTTTTCTCCTTTTTGCTCTTGCCCCCGGGATGCTGCTGCTGTCGTCTTCTACCTCTGCTAGTGAAACCTGGCAGCGCTTCTGGTCTCGAGCCCCTCTGACGGAAAGGTGTCCCCGCGTTCATTCCACTCCATCCAGAGCCGGTTCCCCTGGCCCTGACCATTGCGTAAGAAGGAATGATTTTCATCACCCTGTCCTTATAGAAATTACAAGAAGCTCTTGCAGCTGGAGGAGGTGTGGGGCTGCCTGTACAGTGGATCCTTTTTCTTAATTGAGTTTTGGAGCAAACTTCTCTTGCTGCTGGTCTGGTTCCTTATTTTGGGGCCGGGATACATCCATTCTCAGAGCTTCCTTAGCCAGGTGTCCTTCCCTTTCCTCAAGCTGCCCTTCTTGCTGCGTGGATGGAGGTTGGTGCTGCCACCTTCCCTAGAGCAGCACTCCCAGCCACGGCGCCGGGCTTTGGGGGCCCGGCGCTGCGCCGGGGGCTCGGGCTTTGGGGGCCACGCTTCGGTCTGCGTCGGCAGCTCCGTGCTCCCCCCAGGACTGGCTGCCTTGTGCTGAATGTGCTGCGGCACCGAGGAAAACTGCAGACCTGAGCACTTTGATAAAGCCATGAAGATGACAAATGGTGAGGCTGGGGGAATGGTAAATGCTTGACCTTCAGGTTTCAGGTAGATGAGAGGAAGAAATCGGAATTTCTGTATCTTTTTTTAGGTGGGCTGGGGGGGCTGGTGTTTGTGCTTTGTGCTTTGCATCTGCTGGCCACTTTCAAGGGCTCATTCAGATCAGAATTACTTATTTTTGTGCCTGCTGCTCCGGGATGTTTAGCAGGTGCTAACCCAGATCATTGCTCCCAAACTGGCCCATGGCAGGGGTGAGAGGTATCTTTTTCCCTACCAGACCTAGCTGTGGGGAGAGAAGGTGTGGTTTAAAAGCTGTGGGCTGTAGATAGCCCCCGTATTGCTGGTTCCCACCCACCCTACAGAAAGCTGGGAGTGCTGGATGTCCCACAGAGCTGCTTCGGCTGTTTTTTCTGTAACAGGTTGGTGCTGCGGAGCCTGTGATGCTGCTGGGGGAGCTGCTCATCCAAAAAGCCCATGGCCTGAAATACGTACTGGGTACCTCTGATTTGGCTACGCCTTCTCCTTAGCACGCCCTTTACGTGGACGTGGGGTGTTGGCCAGGTTACCCCGCTGCCTCTCTAGCTCTGGGTTACAGCGCTCGCGCAGACCAGCGGTGCCGCACGCCCCCCGTGGGAATCTGCCCCGCCGCGGGCGCGAGCCTGGGTCTGGCTCCTGACGGGCTCTATCCTAAACAGAGCCCTTCTTTTCCCATTTTCTGCTTCCTGGGAAAGCTCCACTCTGGGTTGGCCTTTTGCTGGAGCGCTGACAAATCTGCAGGTAGCAAGGGAGACGCGGGGCGGGGGGATGTAGGCAGCATTTTGGCTGCGGTCTGGTGCAAGGAGGGGGTGTCTGGTTGCAGTACAAAGATCCTGAGAGTCTGACTTGAGGCTTAAACTTAACCTATTTCGAGATGTGTAACCAGGTTGGAGGGCCTGCCTTCCCTCTGCTGCCCATCTCCGGTTTCGTTGCCGCTCGAGCGCAGCGCGCACGCTGTGTCGGGTGGCAGCGTAGCGAGGGCTACGTCGCTGTAGCTTGACCCTGGTTCCAGCTTGACAGTAATTTCAGGGAAGGTGTTTGAAACAGCTGGCAAGAACGCGAAGCTGCTCCCATGCCTGCTTCGTGATGCTTTCCGCCCTAGGGCTGGCAGGAGGGGACCGGAGCACCCCGATGGCTCTTCCTACGTGCCTCTGGGGGGGGGCTTAACCTTGCTGATGTGCTAGCGTTTGGGATTTGGGAGCCCTGTTAAAGGGATGCTGCAGGGGAGCAGGCGCATGTCCTAATGCTCCCTTAAAGTGCGTTTTGATAGTTTAAGCTTTCGACCCGGCAGTCGTTGCAGGCTGTTTACAAGTTCAGGCGAGCATGACTTGTGGCCACGCTTGGGTTACAGCGACGATCACACTGTTGCGTCTTTCTGTGTGTCCTCAGCTCTTGGAGAGCACTGGTTCCAGTGGAACTACATCCTTGCAAGCTGGTGCCACTGGTGTTTCCTCTTGGTGCCCTGCATCTCGTCCCAGCTCTACGAGAAGTAGCCAGCCTGGGGCGTTCACCTGGTCTTTGAGAACAGCAGACTCGTGACTAAATGTCTCCTCGTGTCACCGGTGCTCCTATAACATGAAACCTTTTCTGTTCTGTTGGAAGGGACCTTCAGCCTGTGGTGCCACCCCAAGTTTGAAGACCGCTGCCAGTCTGTGGTGGAGTTCATAAAGAGAGCGATCATGCACTCCAAAAATGGGAAGTTTCTCTACTTCCTCCGATCCAGGGTCCCAGGTGAGTCGCCCGGGCTGGGGCTGCTTTGCTCTGTGATTAGAATCATCGAACCACAGAATTGTCGGGGTTGGAAAAGCCCTTTAAGCTCATCAGGTCCAACTGCAAACCTAACCCTGCCATCCCACCCCCAAACCCTGGCCCTAAGCACCGCGTCTGCCCGGCTTATTAAACACCCCCAGGGGTGGGGACTCGCCCCCTTCCCTGGGCAGCCCCTTCCAGGGCTTGACAGTCATTTTGGGGAAGGAATTGTTCCCAATGCCCAATCTCACCCTGCCCCGGCACAACTTGAGGCCCTTTCCCCTCCCCCAGCCGCTCCCCAGCAGCCTGGGGCTCCAGACCCCTCCCCAGCTCCGGTGCCCTTCTCTGGACATCTTCCAGCAATGCAACGTCTTGTAGTGAGGGGCCCGACACTGCTGGTCTGTCCTAGGGAGCCAGTTCAGCGTGGCTTCGGTCTGCTGCGCTCGGTGCCCTGGTCTGCGTCCTTGCCCGCTGACTTCTCAGAAGGATCCTGAGGAGCAGATCCCTCGCTCATCAGCTGCACCACTTCCCAAACCCTTCCTCCCAGGGGTACGGAAACGTGATACCAACTCGCAGCATGACAAATGGAGCTGGAGACTCAAAGCTACTCCCTTAACAAGCAATTATTTGGCTACTAAAACTCCGCTTTCTTCCCTCCCCCCCGTCTCGGTGTTGCTGTTCTTCCCACCCGCTCCGTGCTTTGTAGTTCCCCAGTTCTCCCTTAGCCGAGACCCACCTGGGGCTGTTGAGGGGAGAGGCATTAAGCGGAGCGTGTGGGAGCACTTCCAAGTGTGAGCTCAAAGTGAGCCTTGAGCGATAGATGCTGTGGATTCAGAGTCCCTGGGGGGACCGCGGTGCTGGAGCCCATCAACAGGCAGGAGCTTGCAGGCAGGGAGGGAGTATTGGTGCTGCTTTGTTGAAGCACGTTTGATTGCAAGCTGTTGGGTTTGCAGAGTGCTTGTCTCATCCATCAAACTCTGGTTCCTTAAATGGGCTCACATCTCCCTCCTGCTAAATCTGGGTGGGCAACTAGACCAGTATCTTCTGGGTTTGTTGGGTTTTTTTTTTTTTTTTTCTGGTTTTTGCTCATCTACCCTAGTGTACCGAAAAGCTATCCAAAAAATCCAGTGTGAAAGGAAGGGAAGGGTCTGCCAAACAGGCAAATACGCCTCTGACTTGCGAGAGGGCAACAGTGGGGGCCAGAATTTGGAGTGGGGGGGTGAGCGGCGATGCTTTGAACAAAGCAGAGCGGGAATGGGAACGCTGTGGTGGTGAGACGGGAGGCAGCGGCGAAGCAGAGCGTGGCAGGACTGAGCAGAGCGTGGGGATGGCTGCAGTCAACCACAGTGAATTTGCTCCCTGTCCCTGTTGCCATCATGCTGCAGGCCTTGGTGGTGACAGTGACCTCTCGTGGCACTGCAGCGCGCCGGGGATTCGGCCCAAAGAGCTTCTGGTCTAGTAGAGGCTGGAGGGGAGGAGGGCTGGGCTGGTCCCTCTTCAGGGTTCCTGGCAGCGCTGGAGTCGCAGCCCAGATCTGTTCAGTGTTGCCCTCTGCTGCAGACGCTGCCAGTAACTGGAAAGCTGATCTGTAACGCGGCCGTGCTTTGGGGAGGAGATGGATGGAAAGGTACCCTACTTCCAAAAAAAAAAATATCCTTTCGACTTGAAGGCACTTTACCTTCCTGATCTTGAGATCTCTTCCTCTTGAGAACAGGGCTTTGAGGGCTTAGGATGCCAGGCAAATACCTTAGAAAGGGCTTGCTCTAGAAAAATATCCTCCGAAAAGAAAATATCCCCCCAGCCAGCGCTGTGCACCTGCGGAGGAGCCCCTCGCTGCCGGGTCCCCGCTCCCAGCCACCGCTGCTGCGGGCTCCGGGTCCTGCCCCTCTCCAGCCAGCTCCAGCGCTGGACCTGGGCACTTCTTGGAGCTGCTGTGCCTTGATCCTTGGAAAACAAAGTCTCACACTGACGCCTGATCTTTAGTGGGGGAATATTTAGGATGTGCATCTCCCCAGTGTGCTCGTTAGTGCCGTTCTCCTACTGAAATGCTAACTGCTGCTCGGAGGGGGGGGCTGTTCCCAGCTCGCCCCTGGCTCCTGGCAGCGAGGCATGCGGCCAGCACCGCGCGGAGCTCGTGCTGCGTCCCCGTAGTCGCTGGCTGAGCTCCCAGAGGCTAATTCCTTTTTGGGAGGAGAATAAGAAGCGGGGGCAGAATCCAGCCTTCAATTGATTGCTGTTCTTTGCTTTCTCAAAAGCTGGCTCACAGCTTCCCGAGCTGCCCGCAGCAGTTTGGAGCCCATCTCACTGTGAAGAGCTTTCCCTTTTCTCCTTTCACTCCATTGCCCTCGCAGACAAACCAGCGGGAGGGGGTTAGAGTGTAACTGGCTTTGAATCCCTCTGCAAAGACAGATAAAACCTTGTGCTGTGAATAAACCCAGCTCCCAAAAATCCTTCCTGGCCCTCCGGCCGACCTCTCAGTTCTGCGGGCTCGGTTGTTGCTCTTAACTTTGGGGGAGGAGGAGGAGGTTGTGGGGCAGGGAACGGAGGTTGTGGGGCGGGGAAGGGCTGGATGCCACTCGTGCTCAGCCCGGCGAGGCTGCTCGCTGCGTGGGGAGCCGGCTCGAGCCAAGCTGCCTTTGTGCCCAGCCTCGTGACCCCAAGAATGAGCAGCTTGAGCTGACCAAATCCCCCAGCTTTTTAACGCCTCACTAGAACTACCCAAAGGGTTACGTGGAGCAAAGCCTACGTGCCGGTCATGCCGCCTGCCTTCTCCTTTGGCTTGCTTCTGCGTCCTTTCAAAATGCTGTTGCTTCTCGATATAAAGCGATGCTTCGTCTCCGAGTCCTGGTTAGGAGCTCGCGGTGTCCCGGGCTCTGCTTTTCCACCGCCACCCCGTGACACCAGAACTGTCGCTGCCTTGTGAGGAAGGCTGGAGATATTTTGCAGCCAAGGGGTATCGCCTCGGGAAGGTTTGGCTCCCCAGCGCCAAGCGACTCCACAGCAGTGGGCTCCTGGGGGTTTCTGCTGTTGGACACAGCCTTGCAGAGGGCTCCGGTTCCCCAGAGCCAGCTTGTCCTTTCTGAACCACTAGCGGTTCCTTTCTATGGTCTCTAATACTGTTTTTCTCCAAAGGTCTCCCTCCAACGCCTGTCCAGCTCCTGTATCCAGTCTCCAGATTCAGCAACGTCAAATCCCTTCAGCACCTTTGCCGCTTTCGGATCAGGCAGCTGGTCCGAATAGACCACATCCCCGAGCTGCCGCTGCCCAAGTAAGTCTCGAGGGCTGGCCTGGGGACGAGTCTCTTTGGTTTCCTCCCTGGCCCTCGCCGCAGCAGGCGGTGAGAAGGCGTCGGTGTCTGCAGCAAGGGCTCTGGGAGGAAGTCGTTGACTTCTTCAGCCTTGGAGCAGCAAGATAAATGTCCTGTGCTGTGTCGGGTGCAGGCTCCGGCTCCTGTTCCTGCTGGAGGTGACGGTGCTGGCTGGGCTGGGGGAGAGGTTCTGGTTATCCTTTGCGGAGGGCGGCGTGGTTGTGGCTCGGGGCTAAAGCTGCTGCCTGTACCTTTGCCAGGCCCCTGATCTCCTACATCCGCAAGTTCTACTACTACGACCCGCAGGAGGAGGTGTATCTGTCGCTGAAGGAGGCTCAGCTCATCTCCAAACAGAAGCAGGAGACCGAATCCTCCACGTAGCGGGGCTGCCTCGCCCATCTTGTTGCTGTCACTGACGGTACGTGGGTGCTGCGGGTCCGTGCACCCTCCCGTGGGGTCAAACGTAAATCTTGCTCTCTTCCCTCTGATCACCAAGAAAGCGCAGAGCCGTCCCAAAGAAGTCGTGGCTATTCACTCCGTGGTCTCTTACCATTGCCCAGCTTTCCCTGGGGAGGGGAACAAGTTTGCTGCTGCTTTCTCATGCGTGTTTGTGCCCACGCAAGCCCGTGCTCGCTCCCGTGCCAAGCCGGCTGCAGTCCGGGGCAGATCCTGCCCCACGGAGCGGGCTGTTTGATCCCTCTCCCTTCTCTCTTCCCCACCAGGAATTGGATTGTTGCCATCCTGTAGCCTGAGCCAGGCTGTGGTGGGAAGGAGGCATGCGACGGTGAAGCCCGCTTCTGCGGTGCCGCTTCTGCTCTCAAGCTCTTTTGTACGGAGAAGAGGGTTCAAGGCTCCTAGGAAGCACAGCAGAACGGGAACAAGAGCCTCAGCTCCTGGCTGGGGGAGAGGGGTCTCGGAGGCAGCCGAGCCCAGCTCACGGACTCCTCGCAGAACAAAGAATGTCATGGCACTATTTACAATTTTTTGAAAGTTTTATTTTTGATGTCGTCTTCTTTTTTTTTTTTTTGTTGTTGTTTATTTTCAGCATGAGAAATACTGTCTTATGATCGGCTGAATTTTATTATCCTCCCTTGGAAACTTCAAGGTGGGGGGGAGAGAGAGAAGGGGACTCTCTAAGAAGATCTTTTGCTCCAGGCATTGCGGCCAGGCCGTTCTTTGGCCCTCACCAAGAGGGGACGCAGCCGGAGCGCTGCTTGGACTGATCCGGAATCACGTGCAGCTATGTGGAATGACCTCCGGGGAACAGGGAGCTCCGAACAGCGGGCGGCCGCACAGCTCCCCTGCTTGCCAAGATTTGGGAGAAGAGGACCCAACCTAATCTTGGGCAGCTGAGCTTTGCAACTGGCTTTGCAGGGTGGCCCCGTATGCTTTTAAGTTGAGTCCAAGGAAGGAAGAGCGCGTGAGCCGTTTGGATGTCCCGGAGCCTTCTGCCAAAGCGAACGGTTGCTGCTGCGCTGGGCAGCCAGGGCTGCCCCGAGGAGGAGGCATCGTTCCCTTAGCAAACACTGGAAGATTGCGCCGAAGCCCTGCGGTAAGCGGCAGAGAGGTGGCAAAGCTGTTGCTGTAACTGTCGCGGCAGTCCCGGCACCAGAGTCATTTGCCGCGGCGATCTCTGCCCTTCCGAGCGGCGGGGCGTGCGCTTTGAGCCTTTCCCCACCTGGGTCCAGAAGCTGTGAATGAAGTCGCGTTCTGCAGAGCTGTGCAGGATCCTGATCAGGAGTTGCTGGGGCATTAAGGGGCTTCTTTGGGGTGACTTGGAGCAAGAAAGAGATAACCGAGGGTTCTCCTGGAACGGCATCTGATCTCATCGAGCTTGTGCTTGCTGCTTCCTCCTCGTCCTGGGGTGTCCATGGAACCACAGCAGTTCAGCAACAGTAAAGCCAAGAGAGGTGGTAGCTCCTGCTGTGTTTCTGGGCTTGGCATGGGCTGAAATACCACACGCACACCCCTCCCGCCCTTCAAATCCTGGTCTGCTGTTTAATCCACTGCGGCAACTGCAAAGAGTTTGCACTTCATGGTCAAGCTTAAAGTTTGCCCAAAGTAATGCTGAGAAGTCTGGAGAAAGATCTTTCCACCCCGTATTTAAACGAGCAGATGCTCTCAGCCCGAGTGAAGGAAACGCTCCACCCTGCAATGGTGTGGTCTGAAAACGCGATGCTGTGTGTGGCCCGGGCCTCCGGGTCCGAGGTCGGTGCCCTGGGAGCTGGCTGCGGTCACCCGGGAGCCACTAGGACTTGGGTCTCGCCCTGCAGAATGATCCGTGTCCTTGAATTAAACACAGTCGTGTGGATCTGGAAGCAGCCTGGAAAAATTCTGATTGCCTCTGCCGAGCGTTGCTACGAAAGGTGCTAACAAATCCTGCCCTCCCTTCCTTCCCCGCCACCTCTGGCCTCTGTTCTGGTCTTGGAGAAGAAGTGTGGGTTTTAAAAAAAAAAAAAAATAAAAAAAAGGCTTTGGCTTCCAGTTGAAACTAATAACTAAGCTTCAAAATCTGTAGAAATACCTCATGGGACACTACTCACTACTGACTTGGCATTGCGCTGTTGGGGCCGTGGTTATCAGGAAGGGGGAGCTGCCCCAAGACGTGCTGATCCGCATATCCCGACCCGCGGCGAGATGGGAGCTAACCCAGTCTACAGCCACCCAGTCTACAGCCACCCTGTCCCTTCCCCGTGGGCACCGACGATCATTCGTCCGCAG